TTTTGGGTGACTTCTGCAACTTGAGGCTCTAGGTTGATTGCAAAAGTCTTGTATGAAAAGTTATTGGTTGTGCGGACCCATTTTGATGATTTAAAAATTGAAAGTAGTCATGGAATGGGAGAAGAGCAAGTACACTCCCCTGTAAGACAGAAAATAATCTGTGAAACGTGTAGCACATTTCAGAAAAAAAATCCCACTTTTCACCCAAAATTTGATTTGGGGAAAAACACCATTACTTATGAGCCAAACCAAAGCTAGAGCAGTAACAGGCCAACATTTGGGAGTGCATGGGAGAGGAACGTCTCTCTTGGGACGGCTTAAGATCGATTCTAGCGACGGGATTTAAAGCCGGGGATTTCAAAAAAAATTAAATTCAATGATTATAATCAATCACTCCAGTATCTCAGGAAGGTGTGAAATCAATCACTCCAGTATCTCAGGAAGGTGTAAAAGTAATCAATAAACTTTCGCTTGAACTCAACAGTACGTTCGGTGCAATGCGCGCCTTCACAAGCGGCATCGTTGCTCACCATACAGTTCACAAAAGAAAGCCGTCATGACTCTGCTCAACAAACACAAATGCGGGTGTGTCAAAAATGCTTTTTTGTGGGACTTGACGATTTTAGTCACTCAAAAATTAGTGGAAAGTACAGCGTGAAAAGCTTAGCACACTATAAGAAAAACTCTCTATCAGGTGGTATAGAACACATTAGCAAGGCATCCCACCTTAGGGTGGAATTTTCCATCAAAAAAAATAGCCGTCTTTTATGGGTAAACCCGATAGTCCAATAGTTTGAAGAACTCGATGGAAATATGGTGAGTGTGATTTTTACGCTTCATTAGGTACCATTAGCGTTAGTGCGGCACTAATTACAAAATGCGATGACAACTGAGAAGAGCCACCTGTTAAGTATGTCAGACAGTCATTCATGTAATAGATTAGCCTTCATTCTATTGCAAACCACCTCGCAGGCTCACATGGTAAGCACTTTTAGGAATTGTCCATTAACACAATGAACACAAACTTGCCTGAAATCGTCGCATATCCCTTGGGTTTCCTGCATTTTTTAAGCAATTTTGATTGCATTTCAGGAAGAATTTGAGAAAATATCTGAAACGAATTACATCTACTTGCTAGTTGTATCTTTCCTTATGGGCTACATTGGCAGCAAAACATTTGCATCTGGAACAATGCTGACCGAATGGGTGTACTTTATGTAGGATGGAGCTGAAAGGTTGCAGCGGTACAAGCCTTATATTACGTCATTATTTCTCATCTCCGCTCTTAATTCGATATGCGACAAGCGTAATTGTTTGCTCCTTTAGCGGAGTGGTGAACATCAGGATCATGATTGCAGTCACAGATCTAGTAAAGAAAATGACAGATTTCGTTGCTATCCCTCCTTAAAACTATCTTTATTCTGCAAAAATTCTGTTGCGCTGAAATCAAGTTGATCAATGAATGAATCATCGGCTTTAATTACCTTCCTTCTCACAAGTTGAGTATGTTGGCAAACAACGCCGCGGGTATGCCTGTGAAAACATTTTGAGGGCTAACTCGAGTTACGCTTCGGTTTCTGACAACTATGAAAGACTCGAATATTTTCATCACAGTGGTTCCAGCTGCAGGGAAACCAGATAAATGAGAAATGAGTTTATGGGAGTTTTATAGCGAGCCATACACCATCAATCGCGCTACACGTCGTGGAAGCGAATCGAGGGCGTCCGTCTGTTCATGTGCATTTCTTAATTGCACGTGTTTGATATTAACACTCTTTGCTCTCGAATCCTTTCTTATAACTCCTTTCTGACCACAGCAATGTGACAGACATGCGAAGCGAAAACCAACTTGTCGATGATGATTGGATCACTTGGAGTTTCATTGCGGTTACCACAGCTCTTCTTCTCACAGCATCGACTAAAAACTTAACTAAATTATCAAAAGTACCCAAAACTCTACTCTATGTTCACCTGCACATCACTTCATGCGTCAGTAGCACCCGACACATTTCAGGATTTTTGTCCTGTCCCTCATACGTGATAGCCTAAAACATTGCTTTGCTGACCCGAGATAATACAGAGATTCCTTTGGAGGCAAACTGGGCAATTCTAGCATTAATTGCTATTCTGTCACTCTTTCACAAACCGGGCTGTTTCGCGTTTCCTTTCAAGTTTTCAAACATGTCTACTAGAAAAATTCCAATATGAAATAAAAATGATAAATAGGCACATTTGTTTCTGTATTGATTCTGTACTCCGCTACCGTAGTGTGGAGTGGTGAAACAAAAAATTCTGGCTCAAACTCAACATGTCATCAATAGTAATTTGGCACTCAAGTTGCTTTCTCGGGGCCCTTCTGCCTTTCTAAAAGAACACTTCAAAACAGATTTCGACATTAAGCATGGGAGTCTTCTTTCAATGAGGCCTCCACTACACTTGCCAGCAGTTCAATAACAAGAATATATTGATATATTATGATAAGAACAAAAACTGTAGAACTTGTGAATATTGATGCATATTTTGCTTCTTCCATCAGGAAGAGTTCTCCGTAAGAGCCTCGTTGACACAAGAAAAGTAGTAAAAGATTGTAGAGCTCTGTTGTAAAGGTGATACATAAATTCTTCGGCATTTTTCAGATGCATTTAATCCCGTGGATTCTTGTCGCGAGAAAATTTCACCACTTCTCCCGATTACTAGGAAGATGGATCTACAATCTTAACATGGAGGCACTTCCCCCGGCTCAGTTTGTCGACGAGGGGGCATTTTGCTTTCCATAGATGTGTCGACCCATCTAGGCAGCCGTTTCTCGAGTTGACACGTTTTAGGATAGTGGCTAGACGATCTTACTTCAGCTTCACAAGAGTTCACAAGTTTTACCAGAGTGAGATTTGTAAACCGGAACTAGGGAAGCAATGATAATACAAAATGCCCCCCCGTCGACAAACAGCGCCACTTCCCCCTGCTTCCGACCGCTAGCAATAGCATGGGTGACATTCGTTAGACTTGATGAAGAAAAGCGAGCCATGCCAATGATTGAAAAATGGGGTTGAGATAAGCAACGAGAATTAAGCGCATTCTACTCTCGAAGCTTGCGCACACCATCTGTTGCCAACAGGCTGCGGTTGGCCATAAAGCCAAACCCTCATGTGCGCAAAGTAATAGTAGCTTGAGCCATCAAAGAGAATTGCGTTATAACACCAATGATATGCTCCGAATAGAGAAGACGGAACTCTTTGATGAGAGCCTGAAGGTTCAACTAAGTAGTGTTGTCTAACCTGCTTAGATACACTGTCGATCAGCCGTACAAAGAGATCCTGTTCAGCACGAAGGCCTGAAACGATACCGTACAACCATGGCTAAAAAAAACCTCACCACATGTCTAACAGTGAATTTCTCGTAAGGAGTCCTACTTCTTTAGGCTGCAAGATAAAGTACTTTTGACAGGAAAAAATAGTGCCACAATTTTTGGCTGACTGACCCACAGACTATTTATAATCGACAACAATTAATACTTCGCTTTGAATGTGCATGTATTCTAACGACATTAATGAAAGTAAAGACTTAAATGAGCAGTACAGTGCTGCAACAGGGAATATCAGATAAGAAGAAATCAAGCAGAGAAAGAGCGCACCGTTCTGAAACAGCACATAAAGTTTGTAGTGTATTCCATTCTTCGTATCCTGACCGTCAATCTCTCTATCTTTTTCGATGAATCCAGCGAATTGAGTTCGCTCAATTTCAATTGGCTGGCTTGCACGATCATACAAGGCGACGACAAAGTGGAAAAAATTCGACTTCCGTAGATTATTCGGTGGGTGCTTCTCGAAATGAGCTCTCGCAAGTTGTGCACTGAAAGTCTTACTCTTTAATTACTTCCCTCAACGTTCAGTGTTTTGCAATTTCTTCACATTATTCATGGGACTAAAGCCATGAAAAAATGATGGACGTGGATTGGACCTGGCGATTAACCCCGGACAACTAGCGTATCAAAACGTGCAACGTTCTGAATCAGGAGCGTTATCGTTTTCCTGAAGCTACACGATATAGCTGCGCCTGATTGTTGTTTCTGCGAAAGAAAAACAAGCTAGAACCTCAAAGAAGGCACGACTACCCACGCACGAGTAAGTCTCCTTTACATAGGTAACGAACATTTGTCTCCCATTGGTATATTAGACGGAATGGAGATTATGTTGAAACAGAGCAGGTGAACCGTTCTCAATACAAAATTGTTACAGATTACGTCTTAACAGCGATACCTGGCCGGAGATGGATCGATGAGCGAAGGTGCCCATGTGGCCCGAAGGCTTTCATCTTTCATAGATCGTAGCAAGGTGGAGCCGTCAGAGAAGAACATGGCTGGCCCCTCGGGAGGTGCCTTCATTAAGCCCAACACGCCTCAAATGCCTTGACTCCACCCACTTCCTCGCTCGACGAATCATCGTGCAAGCGGCTACCGTATTCCATCTCACTGAAATCGATAACGCAATTACAGAACGACATCTAATCAGTGAATCGCGAGTTGAAAGCTCTTCTAAACACCCCCTCTCAAATACGATTCCCCTGTTGGGGAGTTCCCTACGAAGATGTGCCCTGCTCCTAAAACATGATATGCTGCGTCTGAATCCTACTCTACATCTTTTCTTCAAACTAGTTTTGTATATGTGAAATGCGGGAGCGACACTAAAAACCACGCTCTCTTCCCCTTCCCAGCACAGGGAGCTGCCGAAATTGTGTTCACATCCAGAGTGACTGCTTCCAACGGCTCCTCCTTGTGGTATGTCCTATGACATTATCCCGTCCTAATAGAATTCCCTTGAGAAAAACGGACATATTCATCATACCCTGTAGAATTACGAAAGACGGCAAATTCGAAAATTTTCCGTTCTCCAAAAAGCTTACAACAGATAAGCGGTGTCCAAAGTTCTCTATAATCCCACAGTACACGTAGTAGACGGTGTTCTCTATTGCTCGATTGTTATTATTAATATTTGTTGTTTTTGTTTACGGACTAAAATGTGATTTCGAATAATGAAAAACCAAACCCGGGATCATTGAGATTTTGTTTCCAAATCTTTATGAGGCGATTGATGTATATCGTAGTTATGCTAATTTGGCACGCAGTTTGTCAGAAGAAGTGACTTGAAATGTTCGGACAGCTGCGCTCGATATGCTAATCATACCCAACAATTCTAGCGGCTGTTGACGAATATGTTCCATATGATGGGTCGATTACATCACTGTGCTTTTCAGCTATATACAGGGGGGGGGGTGGGCAAAAAAAGTCACTTTTCTTCCTTGACTTTCGAGGCGCTATAAGTTACACTTTATTAAATTCTGATTGGACATTTCACCACCATATTCAAGAGCATATTGTATACTATCATGATACTCCGCCACAGCCTTCTGGACGCGCCATCGAGAGATTCTGCCACGCGACCGTGATTCGGTGCCTGAGTTCAGCGAGATAGTTGATTTCTCCGCCACTGTAGACCACCCTGTTGAGCTCCGCCCGAACCGGGTAATTGAGGGAGTTCAGGTCAGGTGACACACTTAGATATTCCGTCTTCTTCAGGTACTCAACGCCCTTCCATTCCAAGTAGGCGAGAGTTTTTCCAACGCCCTTCGATTCCGTGTGGAGGCACCCAATCCTGTAGCAGTACGAAGTTTCCAAGAAGGTACAGGCGATGACATGAAGGCAGGATATTCTCCACGAGTTGGTCGATGTAACCGTCAGCGTTCACTTTCAGTCCGGGGTCCACGAAGAAAATATCGGTCTTCACATTCCAGGAACTTCCGGTCCATACCACCAACCCGCGCCTTGGCGACTGCGGTGAAGATGATATCCTGGACCGTAGCGACGTTGTCGGAGCTGCTCGATGTTGGAGGTCTTCCAGATCGAGAGTACTGGTCTCCAGGTAGCTATCCATGGGTGACTCCATACTAGAAGTTTCGCAGCTGTTTGGAGGTGACGTGAATTCCAAAGGTCTTCTCCAGTCAGGCTGCGACTGGAGATGACTTCATATTTTGGTGTACATGAAGGTGATGGGGCCAGCTCCTGCTTATCGAGGAACATCTTGGGTATCTTCCGCCCTGGTACTCGTATCCACGTCCTCTGTCTGGGCTGCGAAAACTTTGCTGATATGTGACTCGGTCGAAGTGTCTTTTTTTGCCCCCCCCCCCCGTATATGGCTTTCACTGCAGGACGAAGTAGCAAAGACTACTGAGTGAGAGACGAAAACAAACACTGGCTGAAAGAAAAGCGTGTCAAACGTGTTTATATGAAATTTATTGATAATCTCTCTTCATTTTCATGTTTTACAAAAGCTATAGTGAATACAATTGATAGAGCAGATATTGTGAAGTATTAGGTAGGGTTTGTGATCTTTAAGCGTATTCATTACGAGCTAGCGTAGAGGACTTGCTTGGCCCACGGTACTCACATCACATGGAAAATCGTCACTTTTATGGTCGTAGAGCTCTTATCGGGAATCAACTGTGCGGATGAGGGCGTAGTGTTTGGAGACAGTTAATTGAGGCACGTACAAACTGGGATCGAAATGGGGCTCTACGCTGTTTGCCTGATTTTTTCTGCTTTTTCCTCACTAACGAGTTCTTCACTATATGCAAACCCCTGATGGCGCTTTACCTTTAACACGATTCTTACACTGTAGAAGATCTACATTGAAAAAAAATGTTCCACAGACCAAATACGACTCCCCCAGCTACCAAATGCACCCCATCCCCGCTGAGCATCCCCAGCGTACGACGACATCTGTACCCCTATCAGGGCACGCCATTGCGTTGAGTAAAATTTCTGGTAAATACGACAACTTCCACTCAAAAGTGTGTCTCGGAAAGACCTCTTCCCCCAAAAAGGCCGGAAGAATAGAAAAAGGGGCAAAAAAGAAACGATATCGATCTTCTTGAGCTTACGCTCGAGCTTGATGACCAGTTCGCAATGATGCTGAGAAATGGAGTACTCTCGCGAGACATCCTAGCTCTTCAACGCCCGAAGGCATCACTACCACCCAATCACTGTGACACTATGTGAACCGCAAGTAGATTTTATTATGAGCCGTGATGGAAGCGGTAGCACAGGAGAGCCGTTGAAACAACATGGTTGTTGGTAATTGCACTCCAGGCTTCGTACCGCGCGGAACACTTCACATTTGTGGGGTTTCGTGGCAGGGCATCATTCGCCCGTAGCCACGAGCCGCCTCGTGGCCTTTTCGTCTGCACTCTCTCCTTTTCCACGCTCTCTATCCGTCCCTAACCTGCCGTCCTTTCCCGTATTCTGTTTCTCCATAACACGATCCTCGCTTCGCATTTCTTCTTGTGGAAAACTCGTCGAGTGCGACTGCTGAAACGACCATCTCTAGTGCTACTACCGTACGAAAGATAAAGCAAAAAAGGGAGACGCAGACCTTCAGGACTTTTCGCTGGCAATTATTGCGAGCGTCAGCGTCTGTTGCTTTCGCTGTATTTTTTCCACGACGTAGCCTGCCGAAATCATCCCGAGCTCACGCCACTCTACTCTTTAACACTTTGAATGCGACTCATTTGAGTCGCACTCTAAGTGTTAAAGAGTAGAGCGACGTGAGCTCGGGATGATTTCGGGTTGACCTCGACCGTTTCTCTGCGGGGTTTCGCGAATATGTCTTCCAGGGGGTATGAAGTCGTTTGCCAACAATTCTCAAAAGTGGATGGTTTCGAGATTATCTCTAGAGGGCAAATTACTGGTGTCCCTGAGCTTTGAGAGTTCGCGCACACAGGCTGGCGCAAAAATGCTCGTCGTGCCCTGGTAGTGCAACGAGCTATTTCGCGGTATCTTTTCAGAATAGGCCAGAAGCTGAGAAAGTACACTTATTTTGCATCAGAACTTTTTTTTGAGGGTAGAGCGTCTAAAGAGGTGGCAGCAAGGTTGTGAAGCTCTAAGTTGGGTACTGATTGATTCTGCTCAGGCAAATGTTTCATGTTTTTCTAATGTTTTTCTAACCAGTTTCTTTTTATGGGAGTATCCCAGTTGCTGTTGAAACGTATTACGTCACTTATAACAAAATTCCACGTAGGAGTTATAACCTTCTTCATACGAGACATCTGAAACTAGAGAGTGCTGAAATCGTGCTGGAGCCTAGAAGACTTCGACTCTGAAAAGCACGTCATTTTTTTTTCTTATGCCCTCTATTCGCAGAAAAATTTCTTTTTGTGCTTTTTCTTGTGGGCTGCCCCACATTCTTCACCAGCGACCCTTTGCTGACCATAATCTATTTTTCTCCGGCCTTTGAAGTGCTACGGAACCGTTTCGAAGACCTTT